CTCTTCTTGTTTCACCAACGTTTGCATTTGTTATGTCAAACATCTCTCTTCTTACTTCATGAGGTACTGAACGTCTATGATATAAGTCAATAGCAATGTCATTTAAAGGAAATGCTCTTGCATGGACTTCGTCCTCGCCGCGTTGCGGCTTTATGAACTCATGAATTCTATCATAACTTATTGCACCATTGTAGTCTTTAATGAAGTCAGCGAGTGCTTTTTTGTTTGTTGCGTAATGCTTTGCAACATCTATATTAGCTTCTGTAAGAAGTTGTTTTATTTCCGAGTGTTCTAACTTAGACAACTTCCGATACATCTTTAGTAGGAAATAAAAAAATATTTTTTGAAAAAATTAGATTAGATTTTTTAAGGCTAGTTTTAAAATATTTCGAACATTTTATTTTAATGAAACACATGCAAGATTGCAAGTTCTTTTCATACAATGCTCTCGCTACTGCCATCAAGAATGAGTTCAATAATGCTTCAAACGTTAATGTTATCTTTAACAAGAAGTTTGTGAAAGAATCTAAGTTCGGTCAGTATGTCAGACCATTAGCTATTGTCATTGACCGCAAACGTTATACTTCACAAGAGTTAGCAGTAGTTTTGAAACAAAAGGGTTTCTTCGTGAATGTCAAAGATACTCATTATACTGTTATAAAGAACTCCAACATTGACTTCTTCAGTATTGCTATGAATCTTTCCGAACAGAAAGAATATAAGAAGGGTGAAACATCTGTGAAATATTATCCTTCATCTCTGAAGACAATAACGAACAAAGATGTTATACAGAAATTCTTACCAAAGGTTGAAGAAGCTTCAATTGACATTGACGAAGGAAGTGAAATGGTTGAAGAAATTGACCCTGACGTCATTTAAGCAAAAATATATTTTTGTTCATTCTTCCTCTTTGAAGTTATCGAAATATTCTGTTATTTTTTCCTTCAGTAATGGTAAGTCTTCTTTGAAGGTAAGTATTGTGCAACCTTTGATGTCATAGTGTGTTTGAGGAAGAGTATTTTTGACAATTTCCTTTATTTGCTCATTCGGTGTCATTGAAATCGGTAAGTTTCACGATAGAACCAGTTTCTGTCAGATTTATATATCTTAGCTAAGTCATAAAAGCTCTTGTTGTTTCTTCTGACTAAATGCAACATACCATATCTTTATCTTCTTCATTCTCCAACTCTTCAGTATAAATCATATACTTATAACTCTTTTCCTTTCCTTTTGGTACCGAACGTGGTATTCTTTTCTGAATGCTTTTGTCTTTGATTCAATGACTTCATCTTTTGCTTGAAGTTTCTTTTCCATCTCTCCACGTTCTGCTTTATATAGTTCATCTAACATCATGAAAATATAACAAGCATAACGAGGTGAAGCCCACATTGCTACAGCATTTACTAAAAGTCTATGAACATAATAACCTTTCAAACCAGGAGCCAAATTCTTGCGATTTTCATACGGAATCTCTTCTCTCGGTTTTCCGAGGGAAGCAATCATATGAGGAAATTCTTCTAAAAGTTCTTTTGTCTGTTGGTTTTCAAACCAATGATATGCTTGCTTTGTAGAACGAAGAGCATTCATTATACTTTGCATTTGGTACATGTCATCTTTGACTGAACGAATGAGACGTAACTGTTTGTTATACTGTATGTACTCGTATTCTTCATTAATGGCTTCATGGACTATAACTGTTGTTGTGTTCTCTGATGTTGACATTACTGTCTTTACATACGAGATAAAAAATTTTGTTAGAAAAAATTAGCGTTATTTTTCTGTCATAAGGAAATGTCAAAAACTCATGAATTTTCGTGAATTTCCTTAAGATAGAAAAAATAAAGTTTATGTTAGCATGTTAGATCTAACACGTTTTCTAACCACTTTTCTAACATAACTATTTACAAGCGTTTTACATGGTATATGTTGCGATGGTTCATGACTTTAAACAGTTTTGTAGCTTCTATTTCTTCACGAAGGATATCAAAAATTTTAACTATGCCGAAGGTTTCTTTATACTTCTTCTTGACATCAGATAATAGGAAATCGTCAGCTGTTGGATAGTTTTTGTTCAGAAATGCTAACATGTCCATTTTATCTTCTGCTGGTTTCTCTACTTCTTTCTTTAAGTCAGCATAGTCGTTTCTCATACGTTCTATCTCTTTGACGGAGTAGTTATATTTCCTCATTGCTGCTTTACATTTTGAACATTGCGGATTCATTTTTGCGTTATACATTGAAACCTTACCTGCTAAAACAACTAAGGCGTCAATGGTTTTCTTTAACTCAAAAGTTGCTGGTTTTATCTGTTCATTCCATACCTTACCTCTTCTATCTTTATCTCTTATCTGCCATACACATTCAGCAACTAACGAAACAAAGTTGTCGTAGGTCTTAAACTCCCGGGTTTTGTAAAGGTCAGAGATGTTCTTATATAACATGTCGCAATCTTTGTCCATAACTTTATGGTTGCAATGAAAACCAAGGAATTCATAATTTACCTTTCGTATGAACTTCTTTATTTCTACTGAGTCAGTTGCTTTGACTTCTATTTCGTCGAATTCAGGAATAGTGAGCTTTTGTTGTTGGATTTCAGGCAATTTGGGTAAATGGTCAATAATGTCCTGCATTTCATAAAGATACTGTTCATTTGTTTCATCTTTCGCACTACAGTCTAAATTACTTGTTAAAAGTTCTTGCTTTATCTTCTGGATTTCTGTTTCAAAAGTATATGAAGAAGGAATGAAGCTTTTCATCTCTACTAACATAGATGTTGGATTCATAACTAAAGAGTTTGGTGAAGTTGTTTGAATTGTTGTTGTGCCGATTGTTGAAATCATATCTTTACATACAAGATAAAAATTTTTCTTAGAAAAAAATTAGCGTTATTTTTCTTTCATAAGGAAATGTCAAAAATTCATGATTTTCGAGAGTTTTAGACCATGTTATAAAAGAGGTTAGAAAACGTGTTAGATCTAACATTCTAACATAAACATTATTTTTTGGTCATTTATGACAAAAATAAATGGTTCATTTACTCACAATATTTTTGTACAAAACGACCCCAAACTTTTAACTTCTTTTCTGCAGCTTCTAATGCTATCTTAGCGAGTTCATATTCTCTAAATTCTCTCTTTAAATCTTCTTGTTCCCATTGGTCTAGTTCGTATGGAGAATCTCTATAACCATAACATATCTCACGTTCATGTTCTTGTTGTTTTTCATGCATTTTTCTAACTTCTTCTTCGAACAAAGGTTTTGCATTCTCTACTGTATCTTCAAGTTCTTCTTCATCTAATTTCTCATGAACTTTCTTGTCTATGGAGTCCATAATTTTTCCAACTGCTATGCAATATTTTGGAGAAGCCCACATTGCTATATAGTTTACAAGTCTTGGGTCTACATACATTCCTCTAACCTGTTTGATTTCATCAGGAATTCCTGCATTAACATTGTATAAAAAGCACCCCGCGGAATTCCGCGGGTTGGTATATTCTTCACAAAATGCCTTAAAATACTCTTCCCAGGACTTATTTTCCAACAACCTTCTAAAGTCTTTCCTAAACTGCTGACACATATTTGTTGCATTAATGTAACCATCCTTGTCTCTACGTAAGACTTCAATACCGTTATAAGTGCCTTTTGTGAATGTTTCGCCATTAGATTTGTTCGTGAACGTTTTTGCTTCGACTGTCATTTCAGTTCTTACCTACAAGATAAAAAGTTAGAAAAAAATAAAACTAACGTTATTTTTCTATCATTAAGAAATACATGAAAATTCATAAATTTAGGTCATTTATGTTAAAATAAATGGTACCATTAATGATATCATGACTGTTCTCGTTCATGTCTGATTTACATCTAATGAAAAAGTTTAGAAGAATTTTCTTATTCTTTCTGGCTTATTTTTGTCTTTCCAGTACTCCCGCTCTAATGGTCCCAGATGTGTTGGCTTTGACTCTCTCAAGTTCTTAGATGGTATAACATCTTCAACGCCTCCTTCATATCTTACTTATAAGTGTCATCGTTTATGTTGTAGTCAAGTATTTCAATAACCACTCCTCGCTTTGCTTCGTCAATGGTTTCAGCAAGTTCGCCATTACTACTTTCAACTAACTTATGTCGAGGGTAAAATGCAATGGAGTCGTCGGCAGCTTTTATAAGATATCCATTACCTTGCGTAGAGTCTACGATATAATAATTTCGACTTAACATTAAACGTTTCTTTGTCAACGGTTTGTCGTCAAGAACTACACGAACTTTTGTACCAGGAATGAGGGTAAATTGTGTTGAATTTCTGATATTTTGTGTTTGGCTTCGTTTCTTTTGTATATACTTTTCTTCTTGTTGTTGTGTCATTGAATTTGGTGTATGTCCTGTTGTAGAATGTGTTGAGGAATTATATACTTCGAGAAAATGTTTCATTGTTTCTTCGGTAAAGTCTCGCTCTTGATTTAAATCTCTGAGAGTCCTTATGAAGCGGTTTATGATGCCGAGTATGTTATGGTTATGGTCTTCAGTAGTGTAGTGAGTTATGTTATGCTTAATGAGAAATTCTGTGATTTCGTTGCTGAGGTATGCACCGTCTTGGTCTGATGTTAAAATACTTGGGCTATGTTCTGCTACAAACTTTTGTAAAACTCTTAACACTTCATGAGTTCCTTTATTTCTCATTATATACGCAAAAGCTTTGCGAGTGTTAACATTAATGAAGATGAGGAATGGTTTATGTCCTCCTTTTCTGCTTTGAATGAGAGTGTCAAATTGGTATGCGTCAGGAGTGTTGGAGTAAATTGGTAAAAAGTAGTCGTAAGGATTTATTTTTTGTTTGATGTACAACATTTTTGTCAAAGAACCTTTTCACTTCAGCTCTGTTAGTAAATCCCGAACTCTTTGCAGCTTCATTGAACTTCTTAAATGACCTCCATGGATGTTGTTCGAATACTTCTTTCAAGCTCATTTATGTAAAAATAAAGATTTTATTCTAGGCTCAAGTGCGTTCATTGAACGCGGTACCATGCAAATACAGTCACAAATGGTGGCATGTAATCTGCACCCGAGCCTGTTGGATTTGTTGTGAAAGTATGGGCATGATTTCCTGCGGTTCCACAGAAAATACCTGCGCTTGAATCTACTGGGTCACTTGAAATATCATATCTATGCATTCCCTGTCTATCCGAACCTGCTGCAAGATTTGTATAACCTCTTTTTGTTATTGAATGTGAATGACTACCTGTTGTGTTTGTAGTTCCTGTATGAGTGTGCGGTGGAAGGTTTGCTTCAGTAATTTTCTTCGAACCTCCTGTTTGCTTTGAAGAGTTAGCACAGTATAAGAATTTGTCTACAATCTGCTGCCATGTACCAAAACCTAAAACTGTTGCTGGATTTGTTGAGTTCATTGAAGTATAAATAGAGCCTATAGGATATAATGTTTGAAGAATCTGAGTCTTTAATGTTTGAAGCTCTGTTTTGTCTGCTTTCTTGTCATATAAATCTTGAGCAGTGAATTTAATATTATGTTCATCCTTCATGACATAAACATCTTTACATCTAATGTTTCTCATCGTCGTTATGTCGTCATCCGATGTTAAACCTTGTGGAAAGTTAGGAGGTTTACAATATATTGCATCCCCACCAGTTTCTTCAACCGTTCCTTCAATACTTTCTATAGCAACAGTTGTAAAACTTGTATGTGTATGGTTCTTGTCTGCTTTCTTCTCTAACATTGCTGGTAGTTCATGTGTTTCAAAGTTTCTGACATGACCTTCAATATTCCTGCAACTGTTATCTAAATTGTTTAGTGTATCTTTTACGCTTGTACTTGGATTCTCTAAAGGTGCACTTGAACCAAGGGTATAGTTCAATATTATGTCGTCTGCTCTAACAGTAGTGAAGGATTTATGTGTATGGTTCTTGTCAGCTTTACTGTCTAATGTAGCTTGAAGTTCATTTATATCGGAGATATTGTGTTTATGAGATTTCAAAACTTTGTTCATTGCTTCGAGTTCAACTTTGTCAGCTTTACTTTTAATAGCATCTTCAAACGTTATTTTTGACTTAACTCTCAAAGTAAATCTTGGTTCAACTAATACACCGTTAACAAAGAAGTATGAAGCATAAATTTCAGCGTTATAACCAAATGATTGTGGTGCTATACCTGTGTCATACTGTACAGTACAGTGTATGTCATAACCTTTAGCACGAATGAATTTATATCTTCTTTCATTAACATTTTTCGTATTCACTTTTTCACCCTGTGTTAAATATCCGTGGTAGTCCGTTATAATCTGTTCATCTGAACTTATATAATGAACATGGTTCTTGTCAGCTTTTTGTGAAAGAAGTTCAACAACTTTTGCTTCACTTATGTTACCAGTGTCACTTTCATTTATTTTTGTCAGCATTGCGTTCAAAACTTCATAAAGACTAACTACTTCTTTTGGTTCTTGAAACAATGAGTCAAAAGTCTTTCTTAACATTACATCTTCAACTGTTATGACTGAGTCAATACCTTTCTCTTTTATTGTCTTAGCTAACTGACCTAAAACAACGAACATATAGTCTAAAATATTATCTTCAGTGTTAAACACTATACGGTTTTCACGAATTGTTGTGTTTGTTGCTGTTAAAACTTCTTTAAACTCAGGATATATATTCAGTAGATTTTCAACAATTGTTTTGAACACTTGTCCTCCTTCATCTAATCTCTTGCTGCCATTAAAGGATGTAAATTAATTGGTTCAATAATTCCGAGACGAGGGTTGTAAGCAAGTCCGTCGAACATATTTTTACGTTTGAGTGCCCAGTTAGTTAGTTTCTTTGTATTATATGTTACTTTACCCCATAAATTTTTGAGACCGTCAAAGAAACTTCCTGTATTTCCATGTAATTTAGCAAACTCAACATAAAACTTCATGCTATCTATGCCACCAAGAAAAGCCCAGAGTGCATCTATCTCACTTTGCATGGTTATAAGAGATGCAGTTGTTACACCTGATGAAAATAAAGTAAACAACCACCCTAACCAACTCTTACCTGCTCCACTTTGTTCTACTTTCACAAAATCACTGATATGACTTTTTAAGTATTCTTTCGTAAGTAATGTGTCTCCAGGTGTAACGTCTCTAACGATATTATCTCCGTCAAAAGTCAATGTTCTAACTTGTGTCCGTGCAGCCTTTATTTTAAGGCATGCATAGTCTGGTGTTTGAGGAGCAGAAGGCTCGATGTATGTAATTTTAAAGAAATCGTCATAATTTTTCTTAAAGGTTTCATATGTTGTTTTGAATGTATTGAACCTCATTATTATATCAAGAAGTTTTGTCAATGAGTCAGCAATTGCTTCATCTACTGTTGACGTTTTGAGTTTTATTTCTGCTGAGTCGTTTATGAATGGTACTTGACATTGAGTTGTATATGGGTCAAATCCTGTAGGACCCAAATGAAGCAAGTAGTCTAAAATATCACGAACAGACTTTGAGACAGTTGTGTCGTTCTTCATGACGATTTCACCATTTACAATGAATGGCATAGTACATGAAGTTATTTGTGGGTCAAAACCAGAAGGATTGAAATGAAGCATATAGTTCAGCGCCTCATACACTGACTTATACACTGTTTCATTATTTTTTGACACAATTTCACCATTTACAATGAATGGCATTGTCGAAGGAGTTGTTTTTGTATCGAACCCTGAAGGATTGAAGTTAAGAATGCTTTCAAGAGCTTCATATACAGACCTATAAACAGTTGTGTCGTTCTTCATGACAACTTCACCATTTACAATGAATGGCATAGTACATGGAGTTAAAATAGGGTCAAACTTTTCATAGTCCTTCCATGTTATTATTTCTCAGTATTTCCATCAGAAATAACAATATATTTGTCAGTAAGTGTGAGAGAGTATTGACCAAAATATAAACGTTTAGCTCTGTCAGCTTCATACGCATATGCAGCTATACTCATATTTTAATGAGAATAAAATGTTGTTCTATTTGCAAAGTACAGACCCAAACGAATACGGGACAGTAAAGCTACAAACAAACTTAGGTCTACAGAATGAGGCGCTTGCATTCAGAATGGTTGACTTCAATACTATCGCTTTTGTCATAACAGATGAAACAGATTTCATGGAGATTGAAATAGATGGAAAGAAGCACGAAATAAGATTTCACAATAATGTAGAATATAAGATGGAAACATTAGCTGGAGTGTTAAATGCTCTCATAAATACTACAATAAACAAGGATAACGAAGAAAACTTAATGAATGTTAAACTTATTGCAGGAGTTTTGAAGTTCAGTTATGCGAAGGAGTTTAAGATAACACGAATGAGTCATAGAGTACAACTTCTTTGGGTGCATACCATATGACATTTCCTTTGAAAAGTGTTGACAAAACGATTGAGATGAAATCTGTTCCATACGTATGTTATGGCAATTGTTTATACATTGAGTCAAAATAGCTAATGTCACAGGTATTTCAGGAGTTAATAGTAAAGGTTCAGTAGAATATAAATCCTTCTGTTATGCAGTCAATTCAATGTTCATTCCAAACGTTCCTGTCATAGCAACTCATTTAGGTAAATGGGTTCGCATTAGTCCTCATAATTTGAAAGACATGCAATTCAGACTTGTTGACTTTCAAGGAGAGCCTGTAGAACTGAAGGCACCAGTGCGAATGACTGTTGAAGTTGACTTTTTAGAAAATATTAAATGCAACAGCTTACAAGAGAACTCAGAGCTAAAAATATAAAGTATGAATGTTATGTATTAGGTCATGAACTTTGGTTGTTGCTGTTTGATGAAACAAATGAGTTAGTTATGTCAGTCAAGAGAACAGAAAAAGGCGTCAAAGGCGCCGAGCGCAAAGCGCTATATTGTGTTAGTGAAAACTGCACCAAGTCAATAAGATTAGGTTTGCATTATGAAGATGAGTTCGATACTGTTGAAGAAGTTTTGGATAGATATTACAAATTGCTAACTTGAAATTTTTTTGACTGACGGCGCAAAGCGCCAAGATGGGCTCAAAGAGCCCTCCTGACTGCTTTAATTTACTAAAACATATTTCAAACAAAGCTTATATTCTGTTGAAAGTTTTGTATACTCGTTCGAATATTTATACTTAAACTCAACTCCTGTAGTTCCTGGTGTTTCAATGATGCGGATGTTACCTATTTTCATGAATGGTGGCGTTTGACCACAGCATTCGATTTCAGGGTCGAGATAGTCAATGACACATTGTTTCCTGTTATTCGTGATATAACATTTTCAAGGTCCTCCTTTGTTAGAATTATTTGGTTCTTGCTTATAAGATTTGTCAAAAGCTTCTTATCGTCTTTGAGTAAATAGTTTTGGTATAACTGAAGAAGGTAATGGTCTACGTTATCTGAAGGATTTGTTTGAACATTTGTGTAAGGGTTGTCGTTGGCTTCTCTTGAAAGAATTTGGTCCAGTGGTGGATACTCTAACTTAACATCTGATGTAGCGTTAGCGTTTGAAGCTGAGTTTAAATTCACGATTAGTTCTGGTTCTGGTTCTTTCAAACACTCTGAACTATAGTTCTTTATGACAATATTGTTTGTCGTTCGTGAGTCAACATTTGATGTTGGTTCAATTGGAACATTAACGGCACCAGCTAAGATGGATTTGCTTCTCATTTCATATAGAATAAAAACCTTTTATATGTATGAAATGAACAATATACTCGACAAGGGTTTGAATGTAAAGCTAACGAATGAAAATATTGTTGAATTCACTGAGACAGGTGCTGTGTATAAAGATGTAGAACTACTGAACAAAAGAGCTAAGGGAAGAAGCAGGAACATGAACAAAGGGTGGAAGCCTATAAAAATTTATGTCAATGATGGCTCAGGAGGTTCAAACATAAAGTATGCAGAAAGTTATAGAGTTTATGCTCTCAAAGGTGAAAAGCCTTCATTTAAGAACAGCTATTCTAACGCATATCCTCAAAAGTAACGGATGGGAAGTGGATGATATGAATGACAGCAAAAATATTAACAGAAATGGCGACAGAGATGCATGGAATTTGTTTACCATCAGTCAATTGAAGGTTAAACTTTAAAACAATGTTGGTCGTTCCCATGGAATATTTTTGACTTTAATGGTATTAGTCATGATATGAATCTCAAGGTATGAACGAGGAGAGATGAGAGACTTATATGCTTCCCAAATTTCTTCAAAAGGTAATGTTATACCTGACTGTTTCCAAATGAGTTCAATATCATAACGTGAGAAACCTTGAAAGATAACGAAGTCAGTTATGAGACGTTTTATGTTTAAAGCTAAAAACCTCCATGTTTGCATAAGTATTGCTACAGTTAAATGGTAATGTCTGACTTTAGTAATGATGTTAGCTAATGGTGAGTCAGGCTTTGACACTAAACCTTTACCAGCGAAGTCGTCGCAAACGAGCAAGTATTTGAAGGATATTTTTTGAAGGGGTATTTTGAAAGTTTTGACAGAATGTAGTTTGTAAGTCGTTTCATATCGTAAACTCCTGAGTACTGACG